ACATTTATTTACATTACAAATTTAGCTAAACACAACTGATTATAAATGGATGAAAACTTCATGGATTTTGGCATCCTTCTGGGGTCTTTTTGTTTCATCCAAATCCATGAATTTATTTTGCTCATACAAAAACACGATATAAATTTCATTATTTTTTATCCATAATATTGAATGTGTTAAAATTATTCAACTTTTTAACAAAAATGTTAGTTTGATATTAAAAACTGCTACAAAATATTACTGATGGAATGATCTATTATGACATACCTTTAATTTCGATTGAGATACATAGTATTTATAAATTATTCTTCTTGAATTGTTCACCTATATTGCATATGATTCATTATTATACATAATTAGCTTACAATAAAGTTTATATTTTGTATGAAATCTACCTTATGAAAATTGAGATCTAGTAGTGTGAAGACCATGTATCTTTGATTCGGTGAATGTGGGGGTTAGGGGAGCACACGACCCTTGTACTGACCCTGGCTACAAACAAATACAATAACTACAGATAAGAAAACTAGACCCAAAGCAATGTTAACTTTTATAGATGATTATTGCAAGAATTTCACAGTAATTACCTCACATCTAATACTTCACAACTTCAAATTAGCCAATCACATGATAGACTAAACTATGACAACTTGAAATAATATGTTAAAAATGCAAACAAACAATGCTTGGTTTGGTTAACAGAAAAAGGGTCAGTTAAGTCAGGTGAAAATGAAAACATTATTAGATCAACTTTTCTCTTGACACTGTTTCAAACTCCTAAATTCTCGCAGACATTAACTTCAATTTGGATCATTTTGAAGAAACTTTCAATAAATTTATCAGTTCTTTGAAAGAAGAATTTTTCAAGAATGATATCGCTGAATTGCTACCAAAGTGGAATAAATACCTTTCATTCGATTGATCACTCAGCTTGTAAGCTAAATGATCTTGCTTTCTTTCTTTCTGTTTCTGGTTACATTTTCCAGTTCCTTCTGATTTTTCTTCACATCAACCAATTCCATCTTAAAGAATTTTTTCTTTTCTTTTACTGATCTCTTGGACACAAATTTCTATTTGTGATATCCATCTGTTATCTAAAATTAAAGTTAGGTGTCCAACTCATCTTGGATTTCAGAGTTGATTCTTTCCTTAAATTTTGCAGAATACATCTACTAAAACTGAAAATATATTAAAATAAATTGTTTTTTCTGATTTATTTTGTTTAAATAAATCTGCAGTTCTTACACTCTCAAAGAGACTCTATGCTTTGAACACCTACTGGGTCTAAAGTAGACCTCATCCCTCAAGTGTATCTCATATATGATACATCACTAAAATCATGGGAAAAAAACTTGGCTCCTTATACTGCTTGAGAAAGTACCCAATTCCATCTGCCATATTCTCTCTTTATAAGAGTCAGATTAGTACAAAAATAGAGTATTGTCACCATATCTGTGCAGAAGCTGCCCAGTCATCTCTTTCCAGCCTCACAGTTCAAAAGTATTTGCATGGCTGTGTAAGTGACGAATTGTTTTCCAGCCTACAACTCCTTTCCCTCAGACAAACTATCAAAACTGTTGCTATTTCTACGAAAAATGTTCTGACAGGCTAAATTCCCTAGTTCCACGAATTCAGAACTTTACAGATAAGACCCACCCTGCCATATACACAGGGGAAAGCCAACATTATTATCTTCATATTCCATTCATAAGAAGAAATTTCCATTCAGACAGATTCTTCCCAAGGAGCCACTGATTTGTGAAAACAGACTCCCAAGAGTATGATTCCTTGGCATCTGCACTTTATCCAGTATCAGTGTTATCCATCCCGCATATTCTGATATTCTACAATTCTTACATCCATAAAACAACCCCATTGACTAACTTGAAGTTAAAAACTTCATGAAAGAACTAGTTAAAAATTGGAGGGTAATGGGATGTAACCTAAAAGACAATTCCACTTCTTAATTGGCACCAACTTGCCATCTGGACAAAAGTCTAGACTTTTGTCCACATGGAAGGATTCTCTTGAAAGTTAATGAATGCTGGTATATTTTTGCTTTATTATTTATATATTTAACATAACTTTTAAGTACTTGTGCATATATATATATATATGTTATGGTCCGGTTCCTTGTACCACGGTGATAGTCCAAGGTAGAACCAATAAAGAAGAACTCGAAGGCGGATATGGAATAACACAGATATATTACAAACAGGAATATATACAGAGCAGTAGAAAGTGTTAGTATGAACAATCAGGTTTAGCAGTAATTGTCTGAACATGACTGTTTCGGACTACCTCTGATTCGACTGACTGACTCCTGACGGACTTTACTCCAGATGGAACTCTCTGCTTCCTCTTGAGGCGCAGTATTTATTACGTATGGAATAGTCCATTATGTTATTATGGATAAGGTCCCATAACAATATATATATATATATGTCTTATCTTTTTCCTCTTCACTGTCTTTAAAAATGAAATAAATTGTCTGAATGATCATTTAGTTTTCCTTTGACTTTTATTTTTTGAAAGCAATGCAACTTAAAATATGTTAAAATCTAAGTAAGTAGTTAAAATTCATTAAGAGATGGCAGTTACATGATTACCTACCCCTACCTGAATAAATGCACTTGAATTGCACATGCTCTTAATTAAACTTTATAATTCTAACAACTTTGCCTTCACTTCAAAATTTTATTGACTAATTTTCTTTTTTTTGTCAATAGGAGTGGACAGGTTTGCCTATTGCCCAATTCATACTCCTTCCTAGTTTTTTGAACAGGTGTATAGGTTTATCCCTTTGTTTCCTATTTAGTATTGGGTTTCTGCTTCCTTCTCCTAAAGTCTTCTCATTTTCTTTCATCCTCAGTAACCTTTTGAATTTTTATGGAATTATCACATTGCTTGGGGTGAAATGATTAAAAAAATTGATATACTAGCAATATGTTGAGGGTTTTCTCAGTAATATGTAAGATAATAAGTAACAATATTCAGAAATGAAATATTCAAAATGCTATCATTTGCCTGTCCATAAATAAAGTAACATTGAATGGCTTAATTATTTCATTCCTTTTTTTAACACAGCTGTATTCAAACTTCCTTTAGGAGTCTGGCAACTGTACAATCTCAAGGAAACATTATGAAACAGTATGAGTTTTAGAACATTAGAAACTATTGTCAATATTAAGACTTAAATTGCTAATTCTTCAGGGGAAAGTTTCTGATTAAAATAGAAAAAAACATGACCAAATAAATTTATGTATATTACTCTGAGAATATCTTGTTTTTATGTAACATAAATTTTATTTTATTTTTTCATATTTCAAGACCTATTTCAACTGTTAGAGAAACCTGATTTTCTTGGGAAAATATATGAATAATCTAGAATATTTACTCAGAACAAAAAACAGAACACAGATAGGATATTAATTCAGTAAATATGCAAAAATATAAAGAGACATCAGATAGGGATGTGTCTTCTCACATTTATTTAATATATACAGCATAATAATCATAAAAGAGCAGGAGGCTCTACTGAGATTTGTTATTCATTGGCGAAAACTCAACAAAATAAGCTAGGCAAATGACTGCATCGATGGAAGATACAGAAAGAAAATAAACAAGGTAGTCAAAGAAAGCAAGAATAAAAGACTAACCATCAATTGTAAGAATACAGAATGTATGACCTTAAGTAATGTGTAACCTATCTAAGAAACTTGTCTAAATAGATGGTAGAACATGAACTACAAAAATATGAAGTTGTGGAGAGCCATGATCATCAAAGTCATGAAGGGACACAATACATAAAATAAGAAAACAATACCTTAAGCTTGCAAATGACAGACATGTTCACTGGCATTTACACTATTCTTGCTATACATTGGAGATTACCTACCATCAGCAGGAGAAAAGTAGACAATAGACATAGAAAAAATGTCTATTATAAGAAAGCAAACTATTCCTTACAAGGAAGCTCAAGTAATTGGAAATCTTAAATGGTGGATAAATTAGTCTAAGATAAACAAACCTTGCCAAAAACATGTAATCTGAATGCCACTTGATGCTTTCTATTTGAAAAGGTCGTAGTATTGGTTTAGCTCATGTCAAAATACACTAACAAAATATAATTTCTTCATCTTGGAATTCATTTGAACATCTTCATTGATTAAACAACAGAGCTGACTGCTTATCATGAGAACATTTAACACCTCAAAGTAGCTGAATGTCTTACTTGAAGATATGACTCCTTTTAACTTTTTCTTTATATTTTCATGTTTCAACCATTCTATTCTGTTATTCTCTTGCCTAATGTAAGTGTACAATATTATTCCATATACAATATTACATAGTATATAATATTATTCCATATACAATATTACATAGTATATAATATTATTCCATATACAATATTACATAGTATATAATATTATTCCATATACAATATTACATAGTATATAATATTATTCCATATACAATATTACATAGTATATAATATTATTCCATATACAATATTACATAGTATATAATATTATTCCATATACAATATTACATAGTATATAATATTATTCCATATACAATATTACAAAGTATATAATATTATTTCATATACAATATTATATAGTATACAAATGTAAAATATAAAGAGACACCAAATCTCTTCTTTGTAAAGAGTTTACACCAGAAAATAGTTGCCAAAAGAAAAAAAATGGTGGCAAATATACTTGGAACAGTCCATTAAGTTAAATCTCAATGCACAAATAAAAAGTTGACAAAATATTCTGCAAAAGCAAGAAAAAGAATGAAATCAAAAGTAACAAAAAGAACAAGATATTTCTTGCTTCCACAAAATATGTAAGACTGTCAATTTCTTTACTGAACAACTCTAATCAATAATCTCCAAATAAGAGAGTGATTGACTGATTTGTTTTTATGGCTTCTCAATGCTTTGTGGCTGATTTAAAGCAAAAAACATATTTCAGATTATAAAATATTGCTTGTAGTTCCTGCTATTCCCATGTGGTCCCCCATCTAAATACTGACCATGCTTGACACTGCTTAACTTCAGTGATCCAATGAGAATTGGTGTTTTGTGTGATCTAACTGTAAGCTCAAAATGATGGAGGATTATACTTCATTTGGGGGTAGATTTGAGTTTTATTTTTTTTACTGAAAAACTCTTGAAAAATGAAAACTGTAAAATTATAAAAATAATGATAAAAGAATGTAATCTGTAAGAAATGAATTATGTAAAATACATAGGCTTTATCAAAATTTAAAATGAGTACTTGACTCTAGGTTAGTTATTGATTTGAGTTAAAGTATTTGTCTTGGCACTTGCAGATAAGCCCATTTAAATTGGAATGACTAAATACAATTAATTTTTATCAATAAAAATTACTGCATTAGAAACTTGTCCCTCACTATTCATTCTAACTCACGAGATGATAGAAGAAACACTAAACCATCTGAATAGAGAAATTCTCAAAATAGGCTTCAAAGATAAAACAAATAATATTAAACTGAAATTCCTCAAAAGCAATCATAGGAATAAAGAATGAAAACCTGGAAGATGTTCAGGAATACAACTACTTAGGGCAGATGATAAAATTAAATAAAGATCATAAAAATGAAATCAATCAAAGCATAATTATTGTTGAAAAAACACTGAATAAAAATAGACATATAATGAAAAGCACCATCCATATATCATGAATTACCTTGCCAATATATTTAAAATATAAATGTAGTAATAAATATATAATGTCTCTCTTGATGTACAGGTGGTAAATGAAGCAATTAATAAAATAACTTGAAAAAAATTAATAAATGCATAAAGATCAATGGAAAGAAACAATGTTGAGAATGAGATCGAAAGAGATCAAACAATCAAAGATTGAAAGAGATCAAACAATCAAACATCAAAGAAGAGACCAAGTTAAGTAATATCAAAAATGTGATTAATGTGATAAAAATGGTGATGGTTGGGACACATAGCAATCAATGGAAAGAAACAATGTTGAGAATGAGATCGAAAGAGATCAAACAATCAAAGACTGAAAGAGATCAAACAATCAAACATCAAAGAAGAGACCAAGTTAAGTAATATCAAAAATGTGATTAATGTGATAAAAATGGTGATGGTTGGGACACATAGCAATCAATGGAAAGAAACAATGTTGAGAATGAGATCGAAAGAGATCAAACAATCAAAGATTGAAAGAGATCAAACAATCAAACATCAAAGAAGAGACCAAGTTAAGTAATATCAAAAAATGTGATTAATGTGATAAAATGGTGATGGTTGGGACACATAGCAATCAATGGAAAGAAACAATGTTGAGAATGAGATCGAAAGAGATCAAACAATCAAAGATTGAAAGAGATCAAACAATCAAACATCAAAGAAGAGACCAAGTTAAGTAATATCAAAATGTGATTAATGTGATAAAATGGTGATGGTTGGGGACATAATAATAATAATAATAATAATAATAATAATAATAATGTGATAAAAAATGGTGATGGTTGGGACACATAGCAATCAATGGAAAGAAACAATGTTGAGAATGAGATCGAAAGAGATCAAACAATCAAAGATTGAAAGAGATCAAACAATCAAACATCAAAGAAGAGACCAAGTTAAGTAATATCAAAATGTGATTAATGTGATAAAAATGGTGATGGTTGGGACACATAATAATAATAATAATAATAATAATAATGTGATAAAAATGGTGATGGTTGGGACACATAGCAATCAATGGAAAGAAACAATGTTGAGAATGAGATCGAAAGAGATCAAACAATCAAAGATTGAAAGAGATCAAACAATCAAACATCAAAGAAGAGACCAAGTTAAGTAATATCAAAAATGTGATTAATGTGATAAAAATGGTGATGGTTGAGACACATAATAATAATAATAATGTGATAAAAATGGTGATGGTTGGGACACATAGCAATCAATGGAAAGAAACAATGTTGAGAATGAGATCGAAAGAGATCAAACAATCAAAGATTGAAAGAGATCAAACAATCAAACATCAAAGAAGAGACCAAGTTAAGTAATATCAAAAATGTGATTAATGTGATAAAAATGGTGATGGTTGGGACACATAATAATAATAATAATAATAATAATAATAATAATAATGTGATAAAAATGGTGATGGTTGGGACACATAGCAATCAATGGAAAGAAACAATGTTGAGAATGAGATCGAAAGAGATCAAACAATCAAAGATTGAAAGAGATCAAACAATCAAACATCAAAGAAGAGACCAAGTTAAGTAATATCAAAAATGTGATTAATGTGATAAAAATGGTGATGGTTGGGACACATAGCAACAAAGAAGTGAAAAAAGACTAACTGTATAGTTTAACAGATGGGCAAAAGATTGACTGTATGTAGCTAAATTGATAAAAATGTCGGAGAAGAAAACTATACAGAGGATGTCAAGATGAAATAGAGGTTTTTTTCGACAAGATGCACCACAAATTAACACAGACATGCCCATCATGGAAGGAATAGGTCACAATGATTACAATTGTTTTATTAAAAATAACTGCCAAGGTACTATTCTTAACTGTTTTGTTTAATTTTATTCTTTTCTGGACATAAATCATGTAGAAATTGACTAAATGTTCTGTATGTCTGAACGCATTCAGCTACACTTTTAGCCATTAACAAGAATGATTTTATTTATACTTTTAACTGAATGCATGGATTGTTTTATGTATGCATCTAGAGTTATAGGAATATTTTATTTTCCAAACACGGTCAGAACATTGTGGCCATGTTCATAGTCATGTTAATGAGTGTTGGCTTTTTGTTTTTTATTAGTAATACTTCCATTATTTTTAGCCTTTTTTACATGTAGATGATGCGTTTTTTTAATGAAACTTACTTAAAAGAGGGATTTCTGCCCAGATGCACAATTTTATATATATATATATATATATATATTAAAGAAGAATAAAAACCATTCATGGAAAGAGAAAACCAGCCAAAACATAAAACTCTTATCCAGATGCAGTGTTAAATAAAATTGACAATACTGAAAAAGGAAGAGGAAAAGGCTTAAAGGAAAACTTATCTACTTAGTAAAGTGCTCAAAGTCCAGATTGCCTAGACAGAATAAATAACGCTTACCAATGTTAAATCTATGAAAGTTGTAACCTGAGTTACACGCTCACGTGATCTTCATGTAGCATCTTCTAAGCCTTCATTTTTTATTGCTTGATCATATGCATATATCTTTTATTAATTTTTAATGATCTTGCTATGAAATATTTATCTTTCTTCTTAGCATGTTTTCATGGATTGCATCTCACCTCCTTGAAGAAAACTTAAAACTTCAACATAAATTTTAATGAGCTATTATTAAAGTAAACCTATAAATATATGATTAGCTTAGCAAGTAATTACTATATTCTTCACTTATACAAAAAATAAAATTTCCGAAAGATGTATAATAATATTATTTTATCAATATTTAACTGCATTTATGAGCAGATATTGAAGCTAATTCTGTTCGTTTCATTAACAAGACAAATGCCTTCACACATTTTTAATGCTTGATTTCATAATTTATAAATCAATTTCTGCATTATTCAATCATGTATAATTTGATTTTTCATCTTATGAAAGAACACAAACTATTGATTTTGACTGCATTATTCACTGGCTTCCCTAGACTTAGATCTTACTATTTTCTTTTCATTTTGCAAGATGACAAGAATATAAAAATATCTATTGATGAGAAAATAACTGAAGATGTTCTGAAACTGATCCAAAGAAAGTGATAAAGAACAATCTGTAAAAATTCTGGCAAGTTTAGAAAAGGTGACATTAGCACAAAATTTATTTTCAAACTCATCTGCGATATTTGGTAAAACCGAAAGAATAAAGCTTTCCTACATTTCTAAATCAGGATAAAACAATCATTCCCTTAAGGGGAAATCACACTGATGGTTGTTAGTGCATCTAATATGTTATGATAAATAAAAATAAAAATCTAGACAAACTCATATGCTTTTCTAATATTAGAAAAAGATTCTAACCAAATAAACTGAGTTGGACTTCCTGGTTATGCTGGCCCATTAATAAATATGAGAACTGAAATGGTACTGTTCAAGAAAATGATATAAAGAATATTATGGCCATTAAAAGAGACCTGTTTTTTATATGAGTGAGAGAAAAATTCAAAAAAGGAAAGAAAGAAAAGGAGAAAAAAAAAGAAACAGCTATTAACTTTTTTCCTTTATTTATTTTTTTTTTAGAATAATTGCATGTTTTCTTTCTTTTTTTATTTTATTTTTCTCTCATTTCCATAAAAAATTCTGTTTTAATGGCCATAATAAAATTTTGTATGCTTCCAAATACCTTTTTGTTATAAAGAATAAAAATATTGTGAATGATGGTAGATATATTAATATATCTTTCTGTTCTATCTCATGTTTTCAAGAGAAAGAGAAATAAATAAACAAGACAAATTCATAGGTAAGTAATGGAATAGAAGATTTACTACATGAAGGTACAATTAACAATTGACATAATGCTAACTCTCTTCACCTACATTTAACTTTGCTTAATTATATAAATGGGAGATTCCATTCATTTATGTCCTCTATGACACCTTCATCTCCAAAAGACTTATAATCTGCAGAAATTTTTACTTAAATCTCCCTCATGAGAAATTTATGTTAAAATCTAAGATAGTAAATTATTGTTTTTTTTTAATTATTTCACTTTAAGTAAGGCAATAAAAACCACTAAGATACAATAATCTGTGATACAATACGAGAAAAGGAAAACATTTTTAAAGAGAGAGAACAATAAAAGAAAAAGAATGAAAAAGACAAAAGATAACTGACATCACATTTAAATTTAGAAGATCAAATTCGACTGGAAATCAAGAATCTGGAAGAGAGTTTTACAAGTGAGAACTGTGAGAGGAGAAATTGTTAACATAGAACTTATAGCTGCATCTAGCCATTTCAAATGTCAAATGATGTGACCTAGCTGCTAATCTAGTAGTGCAGCTGCTCAGAAAGGTCACTCTGATCATTCTGAAAATAAAGGAACT